GAGGATTGTAGATTCTCAGAATTCCATGGAAACTTCCAATTATAATTTTATCTGAAATATAATGGAGTATTTTGCTGTATCGGCCTGTACAATATTGGGCTAATGAAATGAAATGGAGTTTTTTTATCCAACTGTTCTGTACATTAATGAAATGAAATTGAATTTTATCTCCTAATGTTCTGATTATTGAAATGAAATGGTGTTTTATATTCTACTGTTCTGTAACTTATTGCGTTAATGAAATGAAATGGAGTTTTTTATCCTAATGTTCTGTACATTAATGAAATGAAATAGAGTTTTATATCCTAATGTTCTGTACATTAATGAAATGAAATGGAGTTTTTTATCCTAATGTTCTGTACATTAATGAAATGAAATAGAGTTTTATATCCTAATGTTCTGTACATTAATGAAATGAAATAGAGTTTTTTATCCTAATGTTCTGTACATTAATGAAATGAAATGGAGTTTTTTATCCTACTGTTCTGTACCTTAATGGACTAATGAAATGAAATGGTGTTTTATATCCTACTGTTCTGTAACTTATTGCGTTAATGAAATGAAATGGAGTTTTATATCCTACTGTTCTGTACCTTACTGGACTAATGAAATGAAATGGTGTTTTATATCCTACTGTTCTGTAACTTATTGCGTTAATGAAATGAAATGGAGTTTTATATCCTAATGTTCTGTACATTAATGAAATGCAATGGGGTTTTATATCCTAATGTTCTGTACATTAATGAAATGAAATGGGGTTTTATATCTTACCGTTCTGTACCTAATTGAGTGAGAGGTCATATCGCTTTGGGAAAGATTATATTTACCAAGATCATCAGAGCTGTTGTCTATGTTGCCAACTGTTAGACATCCAAAATCAAACTCCTCTTCTTCTCCCACACCAACAGACCACCAGTCTCTAGTTTTAAATAATGACATTCTTCCTACAAGTTACTGAAAAAAAAATTTTCAATTTTCAAAATTTAAAATATAGCTTGATTTGCTGTATCATTAAATCATGCAAGTTCAAGTTGGTTTATTCATCTGAAAATTTTGAATATCTGCTTCCCTGGTTTGTCACTCTGTTGCATCATTTTTAGCATTAACATGTTGATTTGGGTTTAGATATGTACATATTGGTTTTCAAGGCATATCATTACTGTAATGCTTCAAAATCCAACCTGATGACATATAGAGGCGAACTAGTATGAGGATGAAGACTAAAGTGTGCAGTCCACTGAGAGTGAAAGTTGGCACAATCAGGCAACGCCATGCTAAAGCAAAGGTGCAGTACAAAGTAGTAAGCAGGCCTTCAATCAACACTACAACAGTCTACTCAATAGCCAGTTGACAATTTTCACAAAGAATGCTATATATGATCATTGATCGTGGATTCATCATTGACAAACTAAAAGGGGAGTGACATGCGAAAATAAGTCCCTTACACTTATATTAAGATCTTTACAAGTAGGTCTTAATCAATAATCACGACTTTATTTTCTCGTATCCATTGAAAACATTTCGATGTCCACCATCTTGAAATATTTATTTAACTGCGCATGCCCGTGCGGAAGTAAAGAAACGCACGGCCCCTGATGGACTCAGACCACAAAAACTTCTGCACTAATGACTGTATCCTTATCCTACTGGTAGTTTTAAGGTTGAATTTCGTGATTTAACATGGAAAGAAATATCAATTGAATAAGTGGAGTGTGTTCAGCTCATGACTCGATCGGCCAATGGCGACACAAATGGTTCAACCAGGATGGGGCCGCCTGATAATGTTTTCCAATACAAAATGTTTCTAACTAAGCATAGCTAATTGTTATTGACCACATTTTACCCATTCGGAGCCATTCGTGAAAAGGTAGACTTGTTTGATTGATTTACAATTTTGTTGCAACAATTTGCGCAAGATGTGAAGATATGCAACGAAGCACTCTTCCATTATGTAATATAGTGTACAGGTTTTAATGTTTCAGCACAGCTTTGGTGGTTTACAAAATTAAACGCTGAACACATAGTAACAATACTAACAATCAACTCAAATCTACACATTGAACACATAGTCACAATACTAACAATCAACTCAATCTACACACTGAACACATAGTCACAAATACTAACAATCAACTCAAATCTACACACTGAACACATAGTCACAATACTAACAATCAACTCAATATACACATTGAACACATAGTCACAATACTAACAATCAACTCAATATACACACTGAACACATAGTCACAAATACTAACAATCAACTCAAATCTACAGACTGAACACATCGTCACAAATACTAACAATCAACTCAATATACACACTGAACACATAGTCACAAATACTAACGATCAACTCAATCTACACATTGAACACATAGTCACAAATACTAACAATCATCTCAAATCTACACACTGAACACATAGTCACAATACTAACAATCAACTCAAATCTACACACTGAACACATAGTCATAAATACTAACAATCAACTCAAATCTACACACTGAACACATAGGCACAAATACTAACAATCAACTCAAATCTACACACTGAACACATAGTCACAATACTAACAATCAACTCAAATCTACAGACTGAACACATCGTCACAAATACTAACAATCAACTCAATATACACACTGAACACATAGTCACAAATACTAACAATCAACTCAAATCTACACACTGAACACATAGTCACAAATACTAACAATCAACTCAATCTACACATTGAACACATAGTCACAAATACTAACAATCATCTCAAATCTACACACTGAACACATAGTCACAATACTAACAATCAACTCAAATCTACACACTGAACACATAGTCATAAATACTAACAATCAACTCAAATCTACACACTGAACACATAGGCACAAATACTAACAATCAACTCAAATCTACACACTGAACACATAGTCACAATACTAACAATCAACTCAAATCTACACACTGAACATATAGTCACAAATACTAACAATCAACTCAAATCTACACACTGAATACATAGTCACAATACTAACAATCAATTCAAATCTACACACTGAACACATAGTCACAAATACTAACAATCAACTCAAATCTACACACTGAACACATAGCCACAATACTAACAATCAACTCAAATCTGTTCACCTTTCCCGAGCTAATTCTAACGATCAACTCAAATCTACACACTGAACACATAGTCACAATACTAACAATCAACTCAAATCTACACACTGAACACATAGCCACAAATACTAACAATCAACTCAAATCTACACACTGAACACATAGTCACAATACTAACAATCAATTCAAATCTACAGACTGAACACATAGTCACAAATACTAACAATCAACTCAAATCTACACACTGAACACATAGTAACAATACTAACAATCAACTCAAATCTGTTCACCTTTCCCGAGCTAATTCTTGTTGGGCTACCTTCTCTTTCCCTTTTAGCATGTCTATTTTCTTATTTTGATTAAATGTAAACCGAAAACACAAAATTAAAGTTTGGCTAGTCAAGTTAAATTTTGATTTCATTTAGTAAGAAATGTAGAGAAAAACAATATTCTGGAAAAAAAGGAGAGACAGACATCCAAGGATAGAGGGAAGTGGAGAATGAGGAAGTAGCGACAAACAGAAGTAGACGGATTTAAGCACAGTGCAAAGGAATAAACAGGAAAGCAAAGAGAGACAGAGAAAAGTAGGCAAATATGAATTAGAAACAAGCGGAAGTATAGTAGTAATGGCATACAGAGGGGAGAAGAGAGAAAGGAAGTAATGGCATACAGAGGGGAGAAGAGAGAAAGGAAGTATTGGCATACAGAGGGGAGAAGAGAGAAAGGAAGTAATGGCATACAGAGGGGAGATGAGAGAAAGGAAGTAATGGCATACGGAGGGGAGAAGAGAGAAAGGAAGTAATGGCATACAGAGGGGAGAAGAGAGAAAGGAAGTAATGGCATACAGAGGGGAGAAGAGAGAAAGGAAGTAATGGCATACAGAGGGGAGAAGAGAGAAAGGAAGTAATGGCATACAGAGAGGAGAAAGGAAGTAATGGCATACAGAGAGGAGAAAGGAAGTAATGGCATACAGAGGGGAGAAGAGAGAAAGGAAGTAATGGCATACAGAGAGGAGAAGAGAGAAAGGAAGTAATGGCATACAGAGGGGAGAAGAGAGAAAGGAAGTAATGACATACAGAGGGGATAAGAGAGAAAGGAAGTAATGGCATACAGAGAGGAGAAAGGAAGTAATGGCATACAGAGGGGAGAAGAGAGAAAGGAAGTAATGGCATACAGAGAGGAAAAGAGAGAAAGGAAGTAATGGCATACAGAGAGGAGAAGAGAGAAAGGAAGTAGTGGCTTACAGAGGGGAGAAGAGAGAAAGGAAGTAATGGCATACAGAGGGGAGAAGAGAGAAAGGAAGTAATGGCATACAGAGGGGAGAAGAGAGAAAGGAAGTAATGGCTTACAGAGGGGAGAAGAGAGAAAGGAAGTAATGGCATACAGAGAGGAGAAAGGAAGTAATGGCATACAGAGAGGAGAAAGGAAGTAATGGCATACAGAGGGGAGAAGAGAGAAAGGAAGTAATGGCATACAGAGAGGAGAAGAGAGAAAGGAAGTAATGGCATACAGAGGGGAGAAGAGAGAAAGGAAGTAATGGCATACAGAGAAGAGAAAGGAAGTAATGGCATACAGAGAGGAGAAAGGAAGTAATGGCATACAGAGAGGAGAAAGGAAGTAATGGCATACAGAGAGGAGAAAAGAGAAAGGAAGTAGTGGCATACAGAGGGGAGAAGAGAGAAAGGAAGTAATGGCATACAGAGGGGAGAAGAGAGAAAGGAAGTAATGGCATACAGAGGGGAGAAGAGAGAAAGGAAGTAATGGCATACAGAGGGGAGAAGAGAGAAAGGAAGTAATGGCATACAGAGGGGAGAAGAGAGAAAGGAAGTAATGGCATACAGAGGGGAGAAGAGAGAAAGGAAGTAATGGCTTACAGAGGGGAGAAGAGAGAAAGGAAGTAATGGCTTACAGAGGGGAGAAGAGAGAAAGGAAGTAATGGCATACAGTTTACAGAGGGGAGAAGAAAGAAAGGAAGTAATGGCTTACAGAGGGAAGAAGAGAAAGGTAGTAAAGTAGAGAGGAATGAATTAGAGAGAGTAGAAAGAAAGTAAGACAGAGGGAAGTATAGAGAAATTACTTAGAGTCAGAAAGAAGAGTAGTAGAGAGAAAGAAGAGACAGGGAGTAGTGAGAGAGAGGAGATAGTCGAGACAATTGAAGTAATCAGTAGAAAATGATTATTAGGGTGAAGCAGAGATTGACACTGGCAAGAGGGTATTCTCTTATATTGAGAGGTACTTACTGTACCTCCGTGCAATGCTCCGAATTACAGTACTCCGAAGACTTATTATGGACCACTGTTTTCCATCTCTCAAACCGATTTACTATTGTACCCTTCTTACGATTGAAGTTGGATTTTAAAAGATTTTCATAAGTGTCTACAGTGGTCAATAAAAAAAATTGCAGAGAATTCTTTCCCTTGATGTAAAACGTATATAAAACGTAACTAAATTTTACAAAATGATTCAAAAGATAATCAACATTTTTACGGTCAAAGGGAAATAACTCAATTTAATGTTTCTGGCTACAAACAACAATGATTTCTTTGCTCTCTATATACGACACTGTTTTTTTGGGACTATAGATGGGTATTAACTCTATTTGAATTATATGACTATGAAGACTATAGACAACAATTATTTCTTTAACCTTATGGACAAAGCAATGTATCCCGTACTATTCCATTTAATTTTGATAATCACAAAGGCTACAGACAAAAAGTAATTCTATCACAGGGGTGATATCCTGTTTTGTTCAGCGCTTAAATCCCATTTATTTTGGTTAATCAAGGAAAGTTATTACCCTCTTTCGTCAAGATTTTATCCATTTTCCCCACTCCACCTAGCTTTAGAGCGGATTTCTTAACGTTAGGCACATGCCACCTTTCGATAATGGGGGCATATTTGGGCTAATAAAGACCAGGCCCCGTATTCTCGAAACGATCTTAGCGTTAGGATGTCCTAGAATCAATGTTTGATGATAAGAACCTAGGACATCCTAGCTCTAAGATCGTTTCGAGAATATGCCACCTGCAAAGCCGTGCAATGTGCAATGATGGGAATGAGGAACACGTGAGGATACCATGTGACACCCTTTTCGACACTTCCCAGCGCAGTTCCTCGGATTGACCAATGCATGCTGAGTAGGACAAAAACTCTTTAAAGATATAAAAATATTTTCATAATAATACAGTATACAGCCTAATTAACAACCGAATAAAGCAAAATGCATGTATGAGGACACTGAATCAATAAAGATATGTATGTAGACTCAATTGCCGAGTGACATCAGGTGTACGTAACATAACGAAGCATATATGCTTATTTTCTCTGGATTCCTTCAGTCATTCTAGATCTAAGGTGTGTTCACAAACTCATCCAATCACATGCTCTCGATGAGAGAGAGCAAATTTTGATGGGCTAGCAATATGTATGCCATTATTCTCGTCATCAGGTTGAACTCGCATTTCTTAAGGAAGTTGACAGATCTAGATTGAGTAATGTAACAATATCATGTACAAGTCTTTAAATCATTAATATCAGATCATTTAAGAAGCATTTACGGTAGCACATCAACGAATTCGTTAAGTTCATTCAAACCTCATGAGACCAGGAATTTCAAATCGCTCGCCTAATTTATGTAGTCCATATTTTTTCAGGATGGAATCTGCTTCTACTCTTCCCTCCGGTGGAATGGCTCGCCTGGAATCCGGAGGCAGAAGACCTTGGCCAAGGACGGACGATTTTTGGTAATCCACTTTGAAAGCTTCGGCAGCTAACGACACATATTCTTTACGAATGTCTAATTTTGTAAAAAGCACTAAGCAGCTTTGCATTGGATTTTTCATTAAATCTTCGTATAAAATTGGAATAATGGGCAATCCCTTTTCTCGGTATTCCACGCATCGGCTGACACCGGCAGCCCAGGCCGCAGTGAAGATGCCCACGGTTGATAAATTGGACGGTTTGATCGATTCGATTTCCTTGGCATTAAAATTGGCATAGTAATTGTAAAGACCAGTTCTAAAGAAAGGCAAAATCGTGGACAACACTTTGTGGTCCATTATAAAACGCATGGCTTGGTAGGCAGGGTCGGTTTGCAGAATTGTTAAATATGAAAGCACCGTCTTCAGACTGTTTCTATACATGAACAACTGTCGGATTTGAGGAAACATGTGAGCGATCTCTTCAGACAGTCTGGTCATGCTCGGACGAACCTTGATACACATCATGCTGTAACGGTCATCCGGTTTGCAGAGCAGACGAACTGCACTCGCAAGTAATTGTTCGTATTCTCCTTTCTGAAGTTCCTTACTCTTATACAGGTTTCCCAAGTTGGTGATGGAGTCCGGTTCCGAAAGAAGCAGCATTCCAGGGATTCTGTAAAAGACCTGTCCAAGAAGAGTAGAACCACACCGTCCTGTGCTAGAAATCCAAAGAACTGGAACTTTCGGATTGCCGACATCGGAAGCTATTTTATGAAAAGATGCTAAAGGCATCATTACAATTTTCTTGGCGTGTTCGAACTGGGTCTCGTACAGATACTTATTATGCTGATGTTTGTATAAATTCGCGCCTTCTGCCACCTCAATAAAAATGGCGTCAGTTTTAGTCATGCAGTAAAGAGACACGTTTGGTTTAAGCACATAATTGGGATGTTTAAAGCAACTGTGGGTCGCAATAAAATCTTTCGGATCTGCGATTGTATGTGGCAGGAACTTCCGTTTCCAAAATATATCCAAGACGTGAGCACTTTGCCGGAATTGCAGGCCTCGTCTGGCATCGCGGCAAATTTTTTCGACACCTGACACTGCCCATGTGAATTTTTGGAAGGTAACAATGAGAGATCGGGTAAAGCGGTACAACAGAAAACTTAAAACATGTAAAACGTAATCTCTCAGCTTGTACATGGCCGTACTGATATGTTCAAGGTGGTTATTTTCCGACGTTTGATCCATATTTAGTGGTAAGTGGCTGGAAATTCTTCGTTATCGGTTGATAAAAATGGAAATTGGTTTGTTGAAAGAAATTGTGTTGGTTAATTGGTTATTGGTTATTGGTTGCTGGTTGTTGGTGTGCGGGAATGATAAGTCAATTATGGTTGGCTGTTGGTTGATGATGGTTGGTTGTTGGGAATGTAGAAGGTTGGTGGTTCAAAGAGAAGCTATGTTTGTGCTTTTCGGTTACAGGAATAACGTCGGTTTGGTGGAAATTTTAGATAACCTGTATTCGTTGATGAAAATTTGTTCGTGGTATCTGAAAAAGCTTATCCTGGATAGTATCATAGAGATGAGCTATTGGTTGCTGATGCTTTCTTTCTCGTACTATTTTGATGGAGTCGCTTATGGTTAACTGATTAATGCTATTAAATCTGGGAGAATGGTGATCTTTTATGGAAGACTGCTTCGATGGAATTCTGAACCTGAAACGAGACAATGAACCAATTATAAGATTACATGAGGATTATTTTCATTCTCCCTGAAGGGATGTATTCATTTAAATATTCTCTTATAACCAGTAATGCTCTAGTTCAGCAATCTGTATTGTTGTCTATTCGTTATACGTACTGATAGAGCTCAATTTCAGCTATCTCTTCATCAGCTAATAAAATTCATTGCTAGCTATTCAAATTGACTAGAGCTCGTGGTGAAAACGCGAGTTTCGGATACACAATCCTCAGCAGGATATCTATTCACGGACATGGGGTAAACTTTCATAATTCATAAGGCGTATAAGCTAAGTAAGCGAGCCCATTTTAGACTCATTGGTCTACAAAACATAAAATAGAGAAGAAAAAAATCAAACAAATCATTAGGCTAAATTTTCCAACAAGAAACCGAGCTAACACCGAAAGTTTTAACCCTTCAAGGAAATCAGATACAACCCATCGTAAAAACTACAAAAATTATAACCTTAAGAAACACCGACCCTAAAGCTCTTGTCTGAGATTCTTATCAACTATCTTGAATCCTGAAGGATGGCGAGTTAGTTTCGATAGTGAACCCTTGAGTAGCAGACCCATATTTCTGTCTCATTTGCCTGAGACTCAGAACAGTCAGTAGAACATAAATAACCACTGAGAATTTTCAGTCATCGTTCTGCTTAGGTCGACTGATTGCAGTCGTTTATCAGCCGCCAGTTCCCTATGCTGAAACTCGGGCCACGTATTCTCGAAACGATCTTAGCGCTAGAATCAATGTTAGAAGATAAGAACCTAGGACATCCTAGCGCTAAGATCGTTTCGAGAATACGTGGCCAGGTTTCTCTCCGCTTGCAAAGTTGACTCCCCTCCCTCCTACGCCCCTCTTAAGATGAGATTTTATAATCCCTATGTTGATTCTTAACTCATAAACATGAAAACAAACTAAATTTATCAGGCGGACATTGTTAAAATATTATAATTTATTGTAGAGAGATAAGATATGGGACATGGGATCGTAGTAACGCAATTATTTCTATATTTACCGTAAGGCCGACCCTTTTAACAATTTGTTCTCTCTAAGCTTGGAGTGTCAGTCATTACTCCAAGCTCAAAGGTACCCTAGTACAGAACAATAGGACTTAAAAATCCGTTCCATTTCATTAGCTCAATAAGGTACAGAACAGTAGGACTTAAAAATCCGTTCCATTTCATTAGCCCATTTATGTACAGAACAGTAGGATATAAAATTGCATTTCATTTCATTAGCTCAATAAGGTACAGAACCGTAGGACTTAAAAATCCGTTCCATTTCATTAGCCCATTTATGTACAGAACAGTAGGATATAAAGTTCCATTTCATTTCATTAGCTCAATAAGGTACAGAATAGTAGGACTTAAAAATCCGTTCCATTTCATTAGCCCAATAAGGTACAGCACAGTAGTACATAAAACTCCATTTCATTTCATTAGCTCAATAAGATACAGAACAGTAGGACATAAAACACCATTTCATTTCATTAGTTTAATAAGATACAGAACAGTAGGATATAAAACTCTATTTCATTTCATTAGCCGATAAAGGTACAGAGCAGTAGGATATAAAACTCCATTTCATTCCATTAGCTCAATAAGATACAGAACAGTAGGATATAAAACTCTATTTCATTTCATTAGCCGATAAAGGTACAGAACAGTAGGATATAAAACTCCATTTCATTTCATTAGCCGATAAAGGTACAGAACAGTAGGATATAAAACTCCATTTCATTTCATTAGCCGATACAGGTACAGAACAGTAGGATATAAAACTCCATTTCATTTCATTTGCCCAATAAAGTACAGAACAGTAGCACATAAAACTCCATTTCATTTCATTTGCTCAATAAGGCACAGAACAGTAGGACATAAAAATCCATTTCATTTCATTAGCTCAATAAGGTACAGAACAGCAGTACATAAAACTCCATTTCATTTCATTAGCTCAATAAGATACAGAACAGTAGTACATAAAACACGATTTCATTTCATTAGCTCAATAAGGTAGAGAACAGTAAGATATAACACCATTTCATTTCATTAGCTCAATAAGATACAGAACAGTAGGATATAAAACTCCATTTCATTTCATTAGCTCAATAAGATACAGAACAGTAGGATATAAAACTCCATTTCATTTCATCAGCTCAATAAGATACAGAACAGTAGGACATAAAACTCCATTTCATTTCATTAGCTCAATAAGATACAGAACAGTAGTGCATAAAACTCCATTTCATTTCATTAGCTCAATAAGATACAGAACAGTGGGATATAAAACACCATTTCATTTCATTAGCTCAATAAGATACAGAACAGTAGGACATAAAACACCATTTCATTTCATTAGCTCAATAAGGTACAGAACAGTAGTATATAAAACACCATTTCATTTCATTAGTTCAATAAGATACAGAACAGTAGTATATAAAACACCATTTCAGTTCATTAGCTCAATAAGATACAGAACAGTAGGATATAAAACTCTATTTCATTTCATTAATTTAATAAGGTACAGAACAGTAGAACATAAAACTCCATTTCATTCCATTAGCCGATACAGGTACAGAACAGTAGGATATAAAACACCATTTCATTTCATTAGCGCAATAAGGTACAGAACAGTAGAACATAAAACTCCATTTCATTCCATTAGCCGATACAGGTACAGAACAGTAAGATATAAAACACCATTTCATTTCATTAGCGCAATAAGATACAGAACAGTAGGATATAAAACTCTATTTCATTTCATTAATTTAATAAGGTACAGAACAGTAGGATATAAAACTCCATTTCATTGCATTAGCTCAATAATGTAAAACCCCTTTTATTACATTTAACTTTCACCCACATTATTGCCCGAAGACCACCGATCATTGACCATCAAAACACTTTTTAATATCCTGTGGCGGCAATACCATAAAGAATGTTAAGCTTAGGTTTATTTTGATTGAGCTCTTCATAAACTGATAGTAAACAAGATAAGCTTATTAAAATGTCTTGCCGTTTGGACGGAACAATAAACTGAAGACATGTGTAGTATTGACTGTACACTTTTCAGATCACACGACAGTCATAAACGAATCAAATTCCTTCACTCTCTCAAAAAATGCCAACGCTGGAGAGGGCAGAAATTTGATTGGTTAAAGCAGGATTAGGTCAAAAGGTTACTTTGACGAATGTTTAAGAGGCCCGTCTTTAGACCCTAACTGAAGTGGCTATATGCTTAAAATGAAATAACGGAACGGAATTTGGTCCAATTTCAATTAAACTGCGTCATTATTGGCCTTCCTGCGGAGCCCCTTAGGCGCAATTTTCCGTACTTTTATAAAATATTTCGTTTTAACGAAATAAGTATTTCGTTTAAACGAAATAATTAATTCGTTTAAACGATATAAAGTCATATACTTCGTTTAAACGAAATACTTATTTCGTTCAAACGAAATACATTTTTTATTTCATTTTAACGAAATGATTATTTCGTTTAATCGAATAACTTATTTCGTTTAAACGAATTAACTATTTCGTTTAAACGAAACAAAAAATGTATTTCTTTTGATCGAAATAATTAATTCGATTAAACGAAATAAGTTATTCGATTAAACGAAATAAGTTATTCGATTAAATGAAATAATTAATTCGTTTAAACGAAATATATGATATTATTTCGTTCAAACAAATTAATGATTTCGTTTAAACGAATTGATTATTTCGTTAAAACGAAATATTTTTATAAAAGTATGGAAAATTGCGCCTTAGGGGCTCCGTACCTTCGCATGTACATGTTACCAAAAGTATATTATGACGTTGTCCCTTTAACTCCATAATGATGACAAAATATTAACTAGCGTGTACAATTCTTTAACTTAACAGTCTATCTACAATCAGATAAACTCCTTTTTTGGGACAACTACGTAGTTTTTAAGACACTATTTCAGTTATGGTCTACTGCTTCACCACATTACAATATAAATCGGTGACTTTTTTATCTAATAAAAGTTCCGCATCTTTGATTCTTTATTGCTTAACTAAAACCACAAAATTTAATATGTTACTGCTCTCGTGAGAAAATCTTAATTAAATTATTGAAGTTTTACGCCTGGCTTTCCCGCATATGCTTTTATGGACTAATATTGGTAATGAGTAACACTGTGAAGTGACCAATAGGGTAAATTTCCCAGAATAGTGGTAGTAGTCTTCTCCGATCCGATTCTCCACTGTAGTGGAAAGTCTGAAAGTCTCGTCCTGTCCATACCTTAATGTCTGATTTCCATTTTGAAAAGTGATACGGTAAATTTAAATTTGGCTTTAACAGCTAGTGAAGCATAGATCATAGATATATCATATATAGATGGTCAGACGTAGAAGAGTAGGACGTAAAACTCCATTCTTATCATTGGAAGACGAAACATATTCTGACCAGCCTCATACCTTAATGTCTGATTTCCATTTTGAAAAGTGATACGGTAGATTGGAATTAGGTTTTATCAGCTAGAGAAGCGTATATTTAGATGACCTCTAAAATGGCTGTGATCATCATGAATTGACATCTTAATTGAATAATAAGGAAATGAATCATGTCAATTTAGAATAGGATAAGCCTTGACAGATTCAATTTGATTCAAGTCTTGTCTTCCTTTTAAAAATCTTCCAACTTAAAGAGATACTGTCGTCAAAATATTCACTATTTAGTCTAATCTAAACAAAGCTATGAAAAACAACAATACCGAATTCAATCCCAGGTTTATGGAAATCTAACGAACTCTTATAGCCCAGGCACATGGAAAATTAGCTCAGAGCGTGTTAAGGTCGCCTTAGCGACAAGCGCCGTAACATCTCCATGAACGCAATAAAAGAGAAAGGCACTTAGCCTTAGATTTTAATAGAAACGCGCCTTGGGAACGCAATATGGTCGCATATGTAACAGTTTGAGAGCGACTGTTACAGAATTTGTAATTTAATGGGACTTTTTCTCGCGCTTTCTTCAAGTTTTCCAGCGACCCACTACATTTGTTGTCGCCGTAAAAACGCAAAATGGTCGCAGTCTGGTGTGACGGTGCTATAACTCAATGAAACAAGGTTATTTTACAACATCAATTCGAGCATGGTGGTCAAGAATCCGAAGTAATAACTAACAGAACGAAGAACTGGTATAACAGGTATTTAGCAGATGATAAAAATTAAAAGGGATATAGTCGTATATTGGCTACCCTTATCCTGTTTCAAATTGCGACTTTCGGTTTGTCTACAATTAGGCTACCTAAATACTAATAGAGGTAAACGTATATACAACTTGTTCAGACATTATCTAAGCAATACCACCACATCTTAAGTGAACAAAATGTTATATAGGTTACCCATATCCCGTTTCAAATTCTAACCATAGGTTTGTCTACAATTAGGCAACCTAAATACTGATAGATAAAGTATATACAACTTGTTCAAACATTATCTATGCAAGACCACCGCACCTCAAGTGAACTTAAATATTATATAGGTTACCCATATCCCGTTTCAAATTCTAACTTTAGGTTTGTCTACAATTAGGCTACCTAAATACTGATAGATGTTAACGTAAATACAACTTGTTGTAACATTACATATCCAATACCACCGCACCTCAAGTGAACTTAAATGTTATATTGGCTACCCATAATCCGTTTGGAATTCTAACTTTAGGTTTGTCTACAATTAGGCAACCTAAATACTGATAGATGTTAACGTATATACAACTTGTTCAAACATTATCTATGCAAGACCACCGCACCTCAAGTGAACTTAAATGTTATATTGGCTACCCATAACCCGTTTCAAATTCTACCTTTATTTACCACAACACCCTATACGGATAGACCCGGTAACGTGGACATTACCTATCCAATACCACCACACCTCGGATGGACTAAACGTTATATAGGCCCTATATTTGTACAAGTCGTAAAAGGTATCAGATATCGTATGCTCTTCTTATATTGACCCTATTAACCAGAATAAAAGTGTTTGTTCACTTATTAATTTCAACATTGTAAAGAGGTGTCGCCTTTTATGACTGTAGTACTTATTTCTACTTTCGATTTCTCGACATAAAAACCTATTTACGAATGAAATTAATCCGAACATTCTTTGATAATTTTTAACGTATTTTCTAGGCTAGTGAATGAGTTTTTGTGAATTGACTTAAGATGAATCAGCTATCAAAATTTTAGAATGTACCTGTCCTTATAAACGGGCTCGGTCGAATTTAATCGTCGCATATTGTAACTTATACTCGGATGTGCCCAAATATATACATATATAAACCCTTTTACCATTCATGCATATTACGTTTTATTTATTTAATGGGAACTACCGTGTCCAACTTGCTAGCATAGGAAACTAATGTGTCCAAATTGCTAGCATAGGAAACTATAGGAACCTACTGTGTCCAACTTGCTAGCATAGGAAACTATAGGAAACAACCGTGCCCAAATTGCTAGCATAGGAAACCATAGGAACCTACGGTGTCCAACTTGCTAGCATAGGAATCCATAGGAAACAACCGTGCCCAAATTGCTAGCATAGGAAACCATAGGAACCTATCGTGACCAACTTGCTAGATAAGGAAACCATAGGAAACTATCGTGACCAACAAGCTAATATAGGAAACTATCGTGTCCAATAAGTTAGCATAGGAAACCATCGTGTCTAACTATTTAGCACGGAAAACTATCGTGACCAACAAGCTAGTATAGGAAACTATCGTGTCCAATAAGCTAGTAAATGTATAAGAAACTATCGTGTTTAACTAACTAATATAGGAAACTATCGTGTCCAATAAGCTAGTAAATGTATAAGAAACTATCGTGTTTAACTAGCTAGTATAGGAAACTATCGTGTCCAATAAGCTAGTAAATGTATAAGAAACTATCGTTTTTAACTAGCTAGTATAGGAAACTATCGTGTCCAATAAGCTAGTAAATGTATAAGAAACTATCGTGTTTAACTCGCTAATATAGGAAACTATCGTGTCCAATAAGCTAGTAAATGTATAAGAAACTATCGTGTTTAACTAGCTAGTATAGGAAACTATCGTGTCCAATAAGCTAGTAAATGTATAAGAAACTATCGTGTTTAACTAACTAATATAGGAAACTATCGTGTCCAATAAGCTAGTAAATGTATAAGAAACTATCGTTTTTAACTAGCTAGTATAGGAAACTATCGTGTACAATAAGCTAGTAAATGTATAGGGAACGATCGTTTTTAACTAGCTAGTATAGGAAACTATCGTGTTCAACTAACAACTATCGTGCCCAGCAAGTTTAAACATAGGAAACTATGTCGTGTCTAACTAGCTAACATAAGAAACAATCACTAGCTAGCATAGGGAACTATCATGTCCGACTTAGCTAGCATAGGGAGCTATCATGTCCGACTAGCTAGCATAGGGGACTATCATGTCCGACTAGCTAGCATAGGGAACTATCATGTCCGACTAGCTAGCATAGGGGACTATCATGTCCAACTAGCTAGCATAGGGAACTATCATGTCCGACTAGCTATCTTATATCCAACTTGTGTCCAATTAGCTAATAGTTCGTGCTTGACATAATAACACTGTCTAGGTGGTACATGCATATACCTATTTTAAATTCAGTTTATGCAAATAATACATTATGTATACACCGCCTTTGTTCACCAGTTTACCATATAGATGAGACCAGCAGACGATAGCCTATAGCCATACAGTTTGAACGAGCGTCAATATTTTTTCAGCTGTTATTTCAATATGTTTATTGCATACAGTAAACAAGGATGCATTTCTCATTGACTGAAGCAT